CTGAGAAGCTGTCACAGTAGCTTCTACTTTACTGTGAAGGGAAATCTTTATACAAAGCTGGGCCAAAGTTAGTATAGAAAATTCCCCTCCCCACTCTGGCCAGTACTGTTCCATCATTCCACTAAAACCAGAAGCCTGCAAGTGCAATTTGCAACTTTGATACGGAAAAGAACCAATGAAAAACTCCACCAGGGCCTGTGTATGACTAAGTGAGGAGAATCCATAGTTCCAAACTGCTGGAAAAGCAAAAAAATAGTGCCTTTCTCATAAATGAAATATTTTTCTGAGAATTTTCAAGTAGGCTTGAAAATCTATTACTCAAAGGTTTGAAAACTTTATCAGCAAGACATGACTTAATGTCTCGATTTGCATGAACACACACAATCAAAACTGTTATTTAAGTTTAATCTACAATTTTTTACCACTCAAGCAAAAATGATTTCTTTAAAAGTTTTGAACATGCAATAGATGACACATCATTCTTGTAAAATCTGAAAGCCTCATTTGTAGTGGATTTTACATTCATACCTCTTTTGAATCTAAATAACCTCTTTCTTGATTACAAACTTATCATAAAACAACCAAGTAAGAGCATAATATATCTGCAGTTAGTGTAAATGGTAATTGTGTTCTCCTGGACAAGGATTTTCAAGACACTCCTATCTTGCGTGGCCACGCTTTTTATTAGAGAAACTAGATGCATGCTGGATACTACCATTTAAATTCTACAATCTATTTAGGGAATCCATCTCCACTTTTGTTGCACTTTCCTCTATAGGATAAGAAATGAATTTACATCTCTTAAAATTTGAAGGTAGTTTAGGATTTAATTTTCCTGGAAAACCCAAACATGATAAATACCACATCCTTGAAAACAAATGCATTTCCAAAATTTTGAAAGTAAGCTTAACTGTGAACAAGGTCTCAATATTTTAAATTTTCTTTCATGAAAGATATTAAGACTAAAGGTTATTTTGAGGCTAATTGTGCTAGTCTAAGTGACAGTGAACAGAAATTACAGGGTCATTTAGTTTTAACATGCAGGGAGACAGGATGCAGCTAGCTGCTGAACATCCCTGATTTTTGAGGGAAAAGGTGATGAAGAGAGCGCTGTCCTTTAAATAAATAAGTAAATAAATCTTGCCTTAATCCTGAAGGAGGAACATTGAGTATTCTGTGAAGACTTTGTACACAAAGTGAACAGAGATTTGATGAACATGCCCTTAGAGACTAAATATTGGTTTGATTTTCCTGAGAAGCAACACCAAACAGAAGTAGTTACTTATGCCATTGCTACAGTTGCTTCTGACACTTGTAAAATGTTGCAAAATACTGAGAAAATAGAGGTTAGATCTATGCTCATTCTGGATAAACACAGTGCTCACACTAAGGTTTACTGTAACAACAAATGTATTAGCAATTTATCCAGATTTTTCAATGTAATTTCAAGAATTTGCACAGCTCAGTAAAAGAGAAACGTTTAATAGAAAACAGGCATCCAGTTCTTTTACATTCTTACTATATTGTACTTGCATTTAATGAAGTCATTCAACTATACAGCCCTATTTCACCTCACTAGATCCATGTGTATTTCTACATTTTGAAAGAGCTCTTGCCATACTTGCTGAGTGGTTACTTCCATTGGAACTAACTTGGCATTGAGTGCTCTCATTTTATGTGTCTATGAAAAAGAAAGCAAACTGGCTAACAATCTGCATTTTGACTTACAACCTGATTTTTGAGAGTCATCAGGGTTCAGTTTGCTGAAACATAAGTCTCTGCAGAAAACTGGCACTTGCTAGACTAGTCTGAGGGCAAGAGATGCCCCGCCACACACACACACCAAGCCCAGACAGCAAACGCTGACTTGCAGAGCTGTCTGCTGTCCTTAAGTGTTCCCCTGTTCTGTAGCGTGCTCTTCTGCAATGCTATGGGATGAGCATGACAGCATTTAATAACCACTTTGAAAGTTTCAATAATTATGCAATGTATCAAGTGGAAAATAATCAGGCTCTGGTGGTCTTTGCTTTTTGTTTGGTGGAGGAGCAGGAGCTGATAATTACATTTCTAGTAACGATTTAACCCAGCCACTATAAGCATCACACATCAGCTCAATAGTATCGAGTCGCACACTATTTATAAACACTGCAAAAACAAACAAACAAACAAACAAAACCCCTCCCTCAGTGGAAAATGCTTTCATCATCTGTCTAGGAAGAAAAGGCCAATTACAGGTAAACATGGCTTTGCTACATACAAGGAGATGTTACCCAAGTTTTGTTTTCTGTTTACTCACTTTTATCTGTCTCCACCATAACACAAAACTGTATGAGTTGAGGGAAAACTAAACATCTTGCTAGACATTTCAGAAGCACGTTCAGCAAAACTGTCATGTGTTCAGGCATCAGTGTTTAAGCATTTTTCTCTCAAACTCACTTAGCAAAAAATACTGAAAATCTTATGACAATAGTTACATAGCAGCAGTTCAAATAAAACACAGGCCTGGATAAGAGACTGGTTTTTTCCTCAAGGAAAAAGTTTGAAACAAATAGATTGTATCTCAGATATTTTCTACAATGTGATGCACATACCTCACATCCTGAATAATCTACAGTTAAGATAACGGCCAACTTTAGTATCAGTAATTGAGAGCTCCTCTGTAAGTGTTAATACCGTAAAAAAATGCAGCAGTTTGCACTGAAAACTCCTTCAAAACTAAAACACACACAATGCTGTTCTATATCTAAGACATACAGAACATGCACCATGACTGCCAGCATTTTCAGTTCTTGAATCCAAGCAAGCATTGTGCACATCCACAACATTACAAATTACAATCCACCAACAACAAATGCTGATATCAATTAAAAAAAACCCTTTATTAAGACCAATCCCAAACAGCAATTCTAATACTTTACAGCAACAATTTCAATGCATAATTTTAGAAAGTTACTGATTTTTCACATCCTTCTCCTCTGTACATTCCTTCTGTGTACATATTTTACATAGTAGCATCTTTACCATTTTCCACTGGGATTACAGTACAAACACTTTAAACCACATCTAGCTTAAATTCTTTGGTTCAAAGTGATGAACTCCTTCCTCAAAGGTTTCATAAATTTATTCGATAGCCACAAATCCATTAATTAGACGCATGTTCTTTAAATTTCAGGCTCCCATTGAATAAGCTGTCCAATTTCAACATAAGAAGTCATCTGATGATCATTAACAGTCAAGAAGCTGCACTACATTCTCTAAGCATTTTACATAGTAGGCATGTAGCTCATTTTCTTCTGGCTGTGGAGTAGCTAAGAGGAAGAAAAAGCAAGATTTGAACTTCTAGTTGATTCTTAATACAAAATTATTTTTTCAAAGATCACATCAAATGCCTTGCTAGAATTCATGCTATTTTATGATCTTAACCTCTACATTACAGTAGTAAATCAACTACTAATACTGTATGTTGCAAAGTCTGGTTTGGTTTTTAAAAGGCTAGTTTTTTTAGCAGCTTTCCAAGACCCCATTTAGTTGTAACAAATAAAGTGAAACCTGCCTTTTGATTATGCTATGTTACAATGAGGTCATGCCTTGTTCTTGCCAAAACTTTGCCTTGGGTAGGACAAAGTGGAAAATGAAAAATAACAACAGACATTTTGAAAAATTCCCCCACCTGTACTTGGAAGAACAGTCACTGTAACATGATTAAAGCTTTAACAGGGTAGGCTACTTGAGAACCTTAATGCAGGAAAATATAGATGACAACTTCACATGACTGTAAACTGTAACAATTACAGTTGCACAAAATCTTCTATACTCAATATTTTGAAATTTAAATATTTCTTGAATTAAAAATCAATATCTCAGTCTAGGACTTTATGTTCTAAAGTAATACATAAATAAATGGGGATCAATATTATGAGGTGCTAGTCTGTAAAAGCTGCGTATTTCTACCTTATTGATTCAACATAATATTTTGAAAAGTCTCTGATCAGTGGTATTTATGCTATAAAGAACAATACAGACATCTATTTACTAACACAATATCAGTATATGAAATGCATTGTATTATGTTTAACGGACTTAGTAAAGGATGAGTTTGTTACAACGGTACATTGACAAAATCAATGGATTTGGGTGACAGTAGAAGAATAATTATCATGAGATGTTCTAGCAAAAATACATCTCCTCGTTATTAAGATACTTCTGTGGCAATTTTGTTGTAAAAAATATTATGGGAACTTGGTATTATAAGCTCCCCAATTGATAATCCTATTTCAATACATCTTTAGAGGAAATAAAATCAGAAGGAAAACTCATTGGCTTAAAATGAGACATTTGCACGTTTTTGCAAGATCACAGTCTTAATGTGACTAACAACCAACAAACCCATTATTAGCTAATGAAGCTCCAGCTACACACCAGTGCTTGAACATCTTTCAAAATTAATGCTCTTGAGCTGAAGATAGTAACCTATCATATAAAAGCTATTCAAACAATAGTTATGCTCAATTACTTGAGCAAAAAACTCAAGCTTTCAGAAAGTCAGTTAACTCATGATACAGTATTTTAAGACTGGCACAATGATCTGTTCTGATCCCTTCTCTATGTCGCTGAACACAGTGACATTGAGCACTGTTAAGCAAAGTCAATGCTAAATGAACAATTTTTCTTATCACTAAATTCAAGAATTAACACAGAAGCGTATTGTACAAATAAAGTATTTTGCTGCAAGCATGATCAGACCCATTCTTACAAACTACCCTTAGCAATTACCTGAGGTCTTATTTATAATTTTTTAAGCAAGTGGCATTTTTCTGTATCTGAACTTATAAGATGCCTAACCATAAACTGTATTACTGCTCATGATTTTAGAGACTAAAGTATCCTTTCAAAAACTTGTAACAAAACAAAAACTTATTGCGATGATACAAACTGAAATGTATTAATGATCTACTTGATGGAAAAATACAGAATTGGCATTAGTTGGAAGTAAGACTTACTTTTCTTCACTGAAGAATAAGCCTCATCTATTCTTCTCCTTATTGATGGATTCTTCAAAGTCACTTTTGCCTGTAGCACACACAAACACACAAAATACAATGACTTGACTTTATTCCCCACATGTTCACACAAGTGTAGAAAATGACAATAATTCATCAGAACATGAGATGCAGAAATTTTAGAATTACCATATGACTGTATCATCATATAGATTGCATTTATAAAAGCAGGCACAAATCACAGAGGACAAGCTGCTTCCTTACCATGTTGTTTAACCTCCTAGTCTGAGCAGCTACGTGATTAAAATAATAAAATGGAACTGCTACTGTAACTTTATTTTAATTTAAAGGTTACTGTATTGTTTACAGCATAATAAAAGTAATTCTACAATTTATTCAAGTATTCATCAAATACTAACCTTCTGATAGTTGTGAAGCAAAGCCCAAAGTGATGCTGCTCCTATTCTCTGAACAGCATGACTGTCACTCTCCAAACAGGCAGACAGTACTGCAATTGCTTTATCTAATAAGAAAAAAAACAAACAAAACCCCACATCTAGAAAATATAATCAAAAGCACACAAATATATTTACACATCTCAGTATTTTTATGCTTGGAGTACACTCATACCTATGACAAGTATTGGTATGGCAGAGGAATTACAGAAACTTCATTATCAGATTAATTAAATTCAAATATGCTCACAAAATCAGCGGACTACATTGAAAGAAGTGTTAAAACGAATATAGCAAAAAAACTCCAAGCAATGCTAAAAAATTAAGCCATTGGTAATAAAACATGCATGTTATGCACAACCACCAGCTATGCATAGGAACTGTGTAAGCCCTGAAACTGTTTTCTAACTCCCAGTAGCCACAATTAGAGCCACATCAGGATGGAAATTAAGATGTTTTTATTTTCCTTAGTAATTATTATGCAGATGATTTGTAACCAATGAGAAATATTTGCCACCCCACTGTAGTTGCCTTAATTTCCTAGCCTTGCTCTGAAGCAAGACTCTTCAGGTTTGCTTGTTCACTTCACAATAAAAATTCACAAATTATGTAATGAAATAATGTATGATTGATGAAGGCAACAAATCAGCATCTTGGGGAAAAATGAAAAGCATGGACACAACGGAAAACCTGTAGAGAACTTATAACAAAGACAGGAGCATTCTCTCTGCAATTTGATGGGGGAAAGAAACATGCCTTTTACAAACTATTACGAAAAAAGTTCTGTGCATGTTGTTACATTAAATATATATGCCATGATCATTATCATAAATGTTTTCTGCACATGACAGAACACAAAATAGTTTGTCTCAACATCCATGACTTGCAGGAGCTAATAAGGTTTTGTCCAACTGAAAGACAGGAACTTCAGTTATTTCAAACTGACTGACACAAAGAATTCTTCAACCCCCCTGAAAAACTAGCTGTTTGAGAAAACTGCAAAAATACTTTCTTTCATCTTCTGTAACTATATTCAAATGACCAGTCTTGTGATGAATCTTATTTAAAAAAATTATTTATTTGCTTTTCCCTTTTCTATGTATTATTTTAACTGCTTTACTGCCAAAATATAATTACTTCTACAAAAATAATTTTAATAAAATTGGTTTTCTAAACAACAATATTGAGTTCTTGGTCAGTAACCTAAATTGCAATGAAATTATACTACTCTGGAAGACACAATATTCTCACAGTAAAATAGCTTGTATACCCTTTAGATACTTACCATTAGCTAATACCTTTGGTTTATTAGTTGGACTAAAACATACATTATGTAGAACAAGAAGTGCTAGATGTTGGCTGGTCTTGTGTTTGCATTTACACATTTCCACAATCTGGTCTAAAAAACCATTTATCCTCATGATCATCTGCTGTCCATCTTCTCCAAAAGATATGTTCAGTAGCAGCTTTAGCCAAAGGGTAGACACATTACCAGGATTTTTATTACTTCCTTTTGGTAATGAAAGAGACAAAAAGTTCTGCAGGAAGTTACTCTGTCAGAAGGAAGAAAAAGGATGTTAGAATTTATAGTATTCCATGATTTGTTCACTGCTGTGTGACTTTTCAATCTGCACACTTGACCAAAAGCTAGTACCAATGTTTCACTTACATATTTCAGGGAACCCATTTATTAGTCAAGGATTTTTGAATGAATTACATGCAAAAAGGAATCCACATCTTGGTTAAAAAGTTAATATAATAAAATACATTTTCTTCTGTAATATTTTATGCATTGTAGATACATAAAAGCTGACCCAACACAATATATTTCTTTAAAGGCTAATTCCCAACACTATGTAAGCTTTTTGCTTTGCACTTAGCGTTTCTGCCCAAAAATAAGCTAGAAAAAATTTAACTGAATCAATGCACTACTTACCTAATGTATTCTTGATTCCTTATTTATTATTGCTTGTGTTATTAGCAAATGTTAAAGTTATCATGGAATCATAGAATATTTCGAGTTGGAAGGGACCCATAAGGATCTATAGTACCCTCCCCTCTCCACTGACAGCCATAGTAATGTCCTCTATTTTTGTAAGCTTTGCAGAAAGAGACGTCTGTGTTGATATGGCATACACTATTGCTTCCCAGTCTCAGGGTTTGACTCCACTTTAAGGAGATTCTGAGCAGGTGAAAATCTGCTCCCTGTTGCAAAAGGGAGATGTTCTAACATAACATTCCTATGATGAAAAAGACTAAATATCCCCAACCCTTGACAACACATACAGGCATCTGGCCAAAAGTAAACAGCCCAGGATACAAACTCATTGTGGTTTGCTTCACCTGAATATAATATTGGTCATTTAATTTTCACAGATGGAATTAGTAATTCAACATTGCTTACACTTATGAAAGCAGAGCTCAGGAGACAGAATGAAGACTAAAGGACCATCACACTAGAGTGAAACTCTGAAGACAGTAAAAACCAAAACAATTCACAGAACAGAACAGCTACCATAGAAAAGATCTTAAACTCTTCATTTCTATCGAAGTTTGAGTATCAGCAATTTTGTAACTGTTATGACCAGATTTTTACATAGTTAGCACCACAAAGAGATCATATTTCCCTCTGTCTTCTTTAACAGGTAATTAGGTCCGAGCACAGAACATCGTTAATGTAAAATGAAAGAAACTGTTTTAATTATTAAACTATTATACAAGATGCTAAAAACAAACACTCCTTTTATAATTTCTGTTGTGTTAGCAAAATGTCACCACTATAGTTGATTCTCTACATGTTTTGACTTCTTTTCTCAAGGTGATGAATTTATTTAAACAACCAAAGTTAAATTTAGAAGGAACAGATTTTTCAAAGAACATTTGATAAAAGAGTAAGGACCACTCAATATACAAGTTAAAAAGGGAAAAAAAAGACAGTACCTACATTTATAGAATAAGAATAGATTTCTGCCTAACAATCAATTACTGACATGTAGTACATCTTCTCTAAAACTAATTTTTATAAATATTATGTTTCATACAGCATTCCTAATAATTTATACCATGTTTAATTTTTTGTTTACTCACATGCCAGTTTGTTCTACTCTATGCTCACCTTCATGATCCAGTAGCGATTGCTATCAATATATATGAATATTAAAAATTTTACACCCCTCTGAAACTAAGAGGTTATAAAAAACTCTAGGAAAAAAATGTGTAGTTTCATATGACACTTCTGTCCAGACTATGAATACAACAGAATTACACGCTGCACTTAGGGAGCAGTAACACAACTACACTGAGAAGACACAATGGTTTTGATTCCCACAGAAGGATCTATATATGATCACAGGACACTCACACTGTAACATGAAGATTTTTAAAAAAAGGAAAACACATCCATCACATTGCTAAAATCAAGAATATTATTTACTTACCTTCTGAATAATGGCTTTACAGTCATGACACAGAGCAAGGTTTGAAAGAAGACAAAAGACCACGTGCTGAATTGGGCTATTATCATTTGACACTTGGGAAGCCAATTTCACGATGTTATGCATTAATGAATTGCCAGCTGGACTTCGTGCAGACGGGAGTGATGATTGTCCACTAGTGGCCCAACAAAGTGAAGCACAACCTTAAAGAAATGAAACGTTCATCATATGAGAAATGTACATGTACATTAAAAAAAATCTACAGAAAGAGCAGTCTAACAGCTCAAAGACTGAGATGGGACTTTTGAAAGGATTGTTGTTTTTTTTTTTTTGAACCACAGTGAAGTCAATGGTACAGGCTTTGGATAGAAACATGCCTGAATGTGTCAGTTTACAGGATAGGCATCTACTATTCCATTGTTCTAGATTCTAAGAGATGATTCTTCTGTCAGAGAGAGGTCATTGCTCCATCTCAGAAAGTCTCTTTAAAAACTGGCACACTGTATCTAAGGCGCTGTACAATTATTTGGCATCAGAATCTGAAGGGACCCTCTGACACTGGTTCAAAAAAAGAGGTCTTTATACTTCTGCAAGGTTTAATAAGTTTCTTAAAATATTTTTCTGAGAAATAAAAGCACTGTCTGCATCTGTCATGACCTTGTACTACAGTAACATGCAAAATCCTGTGCTACAAAGCTACAAGCTCAAATTAATACAGCAACAGGGAACAACTAAGTTACCAATATGATGTTTGTGCACAAATATGCATATATACCTTTTTATTTAGTGGCATTTGACATCTGCAACAACAGTTCTTACATGGCAAAAGTAAACAAAAAGAAGGCAGTTTTTAATTGTTACAAACATCCACATGCATTTCTTTGTCTGACTACACCAAGGGGAAGTGGTTAACCAGTTTAGAATAGGTAGGTTTAGTTCACCTCATAAGTCAACTATTCCGAACAGAAAGAAATAACATGATTAACCTAAAACCACTTGCCCTTAGTAGCAATGAAAATAAAAATGCAGCCTAGAGTCACTGAGAGTTAAGGAACAAGAAAGGCCGTCAGAACTTAAGCTTGATTTCCAGTACATAACAGGACATTACACTTTATTTTTATATTCTGTGGTTGATTAATACATATTTGACCTTTTTTTCAGTCCATATTAAAAAAACATATATATAT